TGGGGGCCTGGCTAGAGAGCCCCCTCAGACCCCCAAGGAAAGGCCTTTGCTCCTGCCCTGTTGCCATCCCCCAAGCCCTCTCTCCCATAGCCGCCTGTCCCTCTTCAAGGCGGTGGGGGCACGCTGGAGGCCTGCTGCAGGTGTATTTGAGAACATCCCTTAGCTGCCCAGGCCCCAAGTGCCGTGGCGTGGCGTGGCGTGGCATGTTGTGGTGCTTTTAGGTGAGCGCAACACATCAGGACATGGACCTCTGCTCAGATGCAGACCAGAAGCCTGTGGCACTCTTTACGCACTGGCAAGGCATCTGCCTGATATCTGGTCCCAAATATTAACCACGAAGCTGTATTTTAAACTATGCTCAGTTTCTAGACTGTCTCCTGAGTCGGTCCACATTCAGCACACCTTGCAGGACCTTGGCCTGGAGATGACAAGTAACTGTGGCCAAGTCTTTCTCTGTCCTAAAAGGAAGGACTGCAGCTCTGGCAGGCCAAGGGCACAAAGTAACTGTGGCCAAGTCTTTCTCTGTCCAAAAAGGAAGGACTACAGCTCTGGCATGCCAAGGGCACAGGCGGTGTGCCACTGAAACCACTTGCATCTGTGACAGCAGAACTGGATCAGTGATGAAAGCTGACCCTTTTGTCGGAGTCCAGTCTCTTTTCTTTTCTCTGCCAGAATGATCGTGGTGGGAAGGGGGCCAGCGGAAAACTCCTGGTCTTGCTCTTCCTCTTTTGTATTGACTTGGATTTTGTTTGTTTGTCCAGCAGGTAGATATTAATTTTGGAGGAAGCCTGTCTGGATATCACTGCCTCTCAAAATTGAGAAACAGGATGTTTATGTTGGTCCCTGGTTATGCCACAGGATCTGGACTTCCAAGGAGCCAGGGGGTGGGGGGCTTCCTTTGGCATCCTTTCTCTCCATCTCTCTTCTCCCCCCCCCCCCATCTAGCACCACTTAGTTCACCTCTGTTCTGCACAGAGTAGAATTGATCTGCAGTCTTGGCCTGGCTTTCTCACATGGTCGCTTGTTAAATAGCGGAAAATCCAGGAGCAGAGTTGGCCAGGTTTTTCCTTGAGCGGTGGCAGCTGTCAATTTGGCTGAAATGTTTCTGGGAATGGTTCCTTCCTGCAGAAGCCTGTGCTGCTTACACAGTTATAAGGCTAACCCACAAAACGTACTGGGAATGTGCTCCCCTGCTCATTAGACAGCTGCCCTGATGCACCAGGACCAGCCCAATGTCTTCACCATGGACAGCACCGCACAGAGGTGCATCATCTGCTGTTAAGCTCATCCTCAATATAGGAGGGATGTGCCTTGGTCTCGTTTGGGAGCAGAATTAATGGAGCAAAGCCTCCCGGCTGTAAGTGCCTTGCAGAGCTAGAGGTGCCCCATTTCTGCTGCCTTTCCCCTCATGGGGATGGGGGGGTGCTCAGTCACAGAGGACTGAAGGACAAGCAGCTGCCTCAGCTCCTTAGAAAGGAGAGATCCTGTGCCTCTTGTTGGACCAGGGTTTGTGCTCTTTTGGATTGACTCACGGCAGAGGTGTGTATTGGCAAGTGCTTGACATGGAAGAGCTGCTGGACCTCATTGCTCAAAGCTTTTACAAGGATGGTTGTTTTCTTTAGAACGATGTGGGCATCTATGAGGGAGCAAGATCTCAGATCATGAGGCTGTTTTTTGTTGTTGTTGTTGTTTTGGTGTTCTGCAGTTTCCCAGTGACTCTTAGCGGGAGGTCGGCAGCAGCCTGTCCAGAGGTGTTTGTGCTCCTGTGTTGCAAGCAGGCAGTTCCAGAGGAAGGCCCGTGCCCTTAATTTTGTGTGACGAAGCAGCCAAGAGGCGACTCCGTGGCTTGTTTGCACCACAAGAGCTTCGGTCTCTCTTCCATCTGTGTGGGCATGATGGCAGAGTGGAACGATGCACTGCCTCTCCCTCCAGGGTGTCTGTATGATGCTTTTGAAAGAGGACAAGCCCGACAATTGGCACACCATCCTGACCTACTTAGGGAAGCCATCGGTCCCATGAACAAGCCATTCTAGCTCCCTCGCCTTTTATTCCATAGTGACAGGGATGTGGAGAACTGGGAAGCCTTGCAAGGTCAGAGACCACGAGATCCACATTTTCATCCGCCGTGGAGGGGCCCTTGCTCCTCCTGGCACAGATGGACGCTTTTGCTTGCCGTTTTGAAGAGGGCACAGCTCTTGAAACACTCTGAATCACTCTAGCCGGATTGCCCAGAGCCAAAGGGGTGCAGGCACAGAGGACAAAACAGCAGCAGGAGCTGGCACGACCCTTCCTGGCTTTTAGCTGGGTGGGGCCCTGGGACCCGGCATGGCCCCCCCATACAGGTCTCTCTCTCTCTCTTGCTGATCAATACAGAAGGAAGCAGAACAATGTTCGGCTGCAAAGCGCCAGGGCCCAGAAACTGAGGTTTCTCCTTGTTGCTCCAAGGAGACTGGGAACTGTGTTTCCGAATCGGACTTCTCGCCCTTCCCCACAGATTGTTTGGTGGCTCTCTGCTAGCCTTTCTGGTTAGGCAGTTTGTTTCTCAAATTGCCAAGCTAAACATCTAGCAGATGCAGGAAAAAAAAGGCTGCTTGGATTTTCAGAGCTCTTCTACTAATTGGTGGCTGAGTGTGGACTGGCAGCTGGCATGGTTCCTCCAGTCACTAGGCTTTGTTAGCATCCCATAATGGGATTGTTAGCTTCCTGGGGCTTTTGTTTTGGAGTTCACTGGAGGAATTCTGTTACGGATTAGTTTGACTCTTAATTATGGCCTAGTTTGGTGTGCTGAGCAGAATTTGGGCCACTCTGTGCATGAGCCCAAGGCACCCTGGGCAGGACTATGTGGGGACCGGTTGCCTTCTGAAAATGGGGCAGGTGGCCTCTCCTGCTGCCCCTTGAGTCTTTAGACCCCGAACTTTAGACTTGAGGACACTGAGCGGGTGACTCGTTCTGGAGCTTTGTTTCTGTCCTTGTGAGTGCCAGAGAAAACAGATGAGTAATGCATCTTGTCAGCTACTGTGGGCAGCAGGATGCATAGCTAGAGCATCTTCTGGTCTGATCCGGGGGCCTCATCATCTCTGGTGAGGAAGAAGAGACACCCGGAAAGCATCCTTCCGGGAACAGCTGGCATCCAGCTGGTCTGCTCACGGCACTTACAGTGGGAACAACCTGTTGAGATGGAGATGTTTGGAATCTGTGATAGGGCTGATCCGTGAGAACTAAGTTCTTCTGAGCCTGCTGAGCTAGAAAGCCTCCAACAACTCCCCGTACTGACCAGTTAGGCGCTTTTTTACCCCTCCAGGTCCCCCCCCCCCGTTGTATCCTTCAAGCATAGCCCAGGCTGCTTGCTCACTTGATGATTTCTTTGGTTTAGTCTTGCCTTTCTCTCAAAACTGGGACTCGAGGTAGTTCACAAGATTAAAAACATGTGCAGATGAAAACAGATGAAAGCAGATGTAAGAGATCGAAAAGTCATCGTTAAATAAATTAGGGTATCAAACCACTTTTAGATTGAAAGCAGTCTAAAAACCTACCAGCCGCATTGATGCCGTAAGTGGGAGAAGCGAGCAATGCTTTTGAGACTCCATTTCTCCCTTAGCGTTCATACTTGTGGCCTTCCAGCACTGCTTTTCTCTGCTCCAGCTGTCCGAGCACCTGCTAGGAGACATGCCTGGGGCAGCCCCTGGGAGGAAAGATGGCTTGCACACCTGGAAAGGGTAGTGCAGCTTTTGGGAGAGGAGTGGCTGATGGGGAGCCTGGCGAAGAGAGACCCCCGCCCACACACCAGACCGTTTTGCCTTCCTGGTTTGGGAGGTTGGGGAGCAGGGTGGAAGCTTGCCTAGTCCAGCGTTTTGCTGGCCAAGGGGCGAAAGGGGGCCTGCCGTGCTCAGCCTTTTCCTGATTCATGAACCCATGGCTGTGCTCCAGCATTTGTGCTGGCAAAGCAGCACGGACTTGGGTTTCACGTGGAATTGAACATCTCCATGGTGATGGGTAAACAGGCCTTTAAACAGGTGGCTTCGAACCCTGGTGAATGTGCCTGAGCGAGGACACTGATTGGTGTGAAATGGGACACACGCTGTCCCAGGCCAGGCACTTGAGAGGCAGCAGTGAATGGGCAGAGAGCAGAGAATGGCAGATTCCTCGGGGTGGGCCCCATCATGGCTCCCTCGCTGGCTGCTATCCCGTTCATGTGCTTAGCAAGTCCGCTCGGCTTGCCCGGCAGGATATGGCTTCCAGCCTCATCTGTGCAGCTCCACCTTTTGGGGGAGAGCATCTGTTCTGGCACACACACACACACACACACACACACAGAGGCGTTCAAGACATTCCATCGTTACAGTAAATCACTGAACGAAGATAGGCTTCACTCTAGGAAATCTTGCCACTTATATTGGGTTCCTGTGATTATGAATAATGAACCAGGAAGATATGTGGAAGCACACTTCTAAGGCTGTCCTCTTGCTGCTTCATAGAACAGCGGCCGATCAGTCACGTTCTTATGTTCAGTGGCACACAGAAGGTGATAGCAAAGGCATTTGTGAGAGCCCAGCGCTTAGGCCTGGGTTTCAGTAAGCAACAGACTTTGTGACAATAGCCCCTAGAGGTTAGTGGTCCATCCTCCCTAACCACGACAGCTCACGAGATGTGGGGGTTCACAGAAAGCCAATGCTCCTGCCCTTCAGTGGGTCCCGTGGCTGGAAAAAAAGATCACAGAAAGCCAATGCTCCTGCCCTTCAGATCTCCACTTTGGGTCCCGTGACTTTCCCCACATACATGCCTGGACAGGTGCTGCCAGCTGGGATGAGAGTTTAGTGGACTGGATAGACCGATGGGCTCACTCTGTGTAAGGCAGCCTAATACCTTTGATCACCCGTTTGTCCTGGCTGGGATATTGCCCTTCTTGCAGATGACGTGCAGAACAATTGTCTTTTGCTTTTGGATGGATGGCCCTTCTGAGGTTCTCTCCCCTCACAGTCTGTCTTGCTGGCCCTTGTCAGGTTGCCATCAAGATCATTGATAAGACCCAGCTGGATGAAGAAAACCTCAAGAAGATCTTCAGAGAAGTTCAGATCATGAAGATGCTGTGCCACCCGCACATCATCCGACTGTATCAGGTAGGAGGGCTGTGTGGTTGGGATGTGGGGCACGTCCCTGGCATGGCTTGGCAGTAGAAGGGCTGTGATAGCCCACGGCGGGGCTAAATGAATCCTTCAGGCTCAAGGTGGCACCTGGCTTGTCTGCACCTGTTCTCAAGGTGTGCACAAGGTGTTGATACCAGCTGTGTGGCGCTTGCACAAGCAGCAACGCTGGCGGCTGGCGGCTGGCGGCCTGCAGGCACCGCCTGAAAAGAGGAGCCTTTTGTTGTGTGGAAGCAAACCGTGAGGCCAGAGACAAGCTCTTCCAGCGTCCACAGCAGTGAGGGTGCCTGCTCCTTCAGCCAAAGCCTGTCAGCAGGCTATTCGTCTTCCTTCGGCCCTTCTCAAGGAGCAGCTTTCTTGCACTCTGACCCTCCCTGAAGCAGTTAAAGGAAAGCAGGCAGAAAAACAGGCCAGTCTGATGGGCTCCTATCCTGCGACAGAGGATATCTGGTTCCTGGAAGGCAAAGGACAGGCCCCGTGTCTGTCTTCCTGACCCTCTGTGGACGGAGGTCTAATGTATAGTTTTTCTGAATGGGACACAAGATCTTGGTGCACAGCCTGAGGAAGATGGATTACCATTGAAAGCTAGCAGTCTGCTTGGGTTTTTTAGTGGTCCAATAAAGGGTATTGCCCGCTCCTCCTAAGAACAGGAGGAGTGGGCTATATCTCTGGCAAGGCAGATCAGCCTGGGAGAAGACGGGGGAGGCCATGGTTTTGTCAGGCCATGCCCCACTACAGCGTACCATTTCCCCAAAGCGCCAAAGGTGTTTGTGGCAAGCAGCCTTTTGCTGGAGGCATCCATCCTCTGGGCACTGCCCGATCTCTGTGTTAAAGAGAATGGTAGCTGCCTCTGGAGCAAACAGCTTGGCTGATCAACCGAAGCTCAAATCCCTTTGAGGAGCTTTCCTTGCTTGGAGGGCATTCCTTGTGTCTGCCAAGAGGCCTGGCCCTCTCACTGGGAGTCCGTAGTTCTTTGGGTAACTGGAGCTAAGGAAAGAGTTCGGAATTGCCTTAGAGCAGTGGCCTCCCAGCCTTGGGTGCCCCAGGTGTTCTTGGACTGCAACTCCCAGAAACCCTGGCTGGCACAGCTAGTGGTGAAGGCTTCTGGGAACAACGATTCAAGAATACCTGGGTTACCCAGGGTTGGGGGGGGGCACTGCATTAGAATAACAACGATTCAAGAATACTTGGGTTACCCAGGGTTGGGGGGGAGCACTGCATTAGAACAGTGGTTCTCCACTGTTATTCCTCCAGATATTGTGGACTTTTACTTCCAGAATTCCCAGCCATTGACCACATCTGTCTGAGACTTCTAGAGCTGAAGGTCTGGAGGGCCATGGGTTGAGAATCACAGCCTCAGAACATCTGATCTTGAACCCAAGAATACTTGGGTTACCCAGGGTTGGGGGGGAGCACTGCATTAGAACAGTGGTTCTCCACTGTTATTCCTCCAGATATTGTGGACTTTTACTTCCAGAATTCCCAGCCATTGACCACATCTGTCTGAGACTTCTAGAGCTGAAGGTCTGGAGGGCCATGGGTTGAGAATCACAGCCTCAGAACATCTGATCTTGAACCCTCTGAGAAGGATGTAAGGGTTGGTCTTCCTATCAACAGGATCATCAGTTCAGTGGCTCAAGTACAAAAGTTGTAATATTAATTCAGAATGGCTGGCCCATCCTTAACAGCTGTCATCTACTGTAGTCGCGAGCAGTTGTTTTTAAAAAGATGGATTAGTGATCCAGAGATTATCTTAGCTTGGATTGTAGGAGCCTTCTATGACCCTGCTGGACACACAGAATTAGACAAGCAAGCAGAGCCCCTTTGGCCTGGAAGGGAATCTCTGGAAACCAACTTCCAACATCTCAAACCTGAGTTTGTTTTCCACGCATTTTAACAGCTTTAAGGCCCTCACGATTGTCCTTGCCTGGCCTTGTATGTGAACATCCCGCCGCTGGGCGCTTCTAATTTGTTGGAAGTGGCTCCTATGCATCAGAGATGCAATTCACAAAAGAGGAGTCCAATTAGCATGGCTTCCTTCTCTCCCATGGCACAGCCTTATCTGTCACTTTTTTTTCTTTTTTCTTTTTTTTTTGCCCTTGCACAGGTTATGGAGACGGAGCGAATGATTTATCTGGTGACCGAATATGCCAGTGGAGGGGAAATATTTGGTAAGTGTGTTTATTGCATTCTTTAATCAGATAATGTACTTGGTCAGCTCAGTAAACTTAAAATAGCTGACCCTCCTCTCTGCTCTTGGTTAGGCAGTGCCCTTTTCAGGTCCTGGAACTTTCCGTTCATCAAAGCCTTTGGAGGGGAGGGCTGGTGGGCTGGTTTTCTTGCCTTGCCCCGGAGGTATAGGATGAAGGCGCTGGGCTGCCTCCTATGGCCAAAGCCCTGTAAAATGGACGCTGAGGAACAATGAAGATAGTTTAAAAATCCTTTCCGAAGCCTCTCTGCTGATAGGCTTGGAGTCTCCGTTTCCCTCCCCCCCCAATCGGGCTGTGCAGGGCTGGCCTTAGGGAAGCACGGCGGTTAGGGGGACTGGGTGGGCCTCGTGCATTGCAGGCATGAACGGGGCCCCCTTGGAGTGGCCCTTTCCTCTCTCGCAGGCAGTCTGGGGCTCCCTGCTGGCTGCCGGCAGAGGCTCCTGTGTGACCCTGCCTTCCTAGCGCCACCCCTTCCATCCTGCTGGCCTCCTCGGCTCCCGTGCTGGCTCCAGCTTCCAGTCTATTTCATCCCCCTCCCAAATGCCCCACTAGAGTCACTGGTGCATTTTGTGGTCGCTTCAGGGGAAAGGGGAGCGAGTGGCTTCAGGAGACAGAAGCCCGTTTTGGAAAGAAAAAGTCTCCGTCTTCCGTGACACCTTCCGGACCTAAGGAAGCCCTTCTTGAAGGAGCTGGAAGGCGAAACCCCCAGGGAGCTCCCTGGGCCGGCCGCAGAGCTTCTGTTCAGTGTCTCTGCCCCTGGGTGGACGACTTGTTCCAGCCTGGCTGGCTGGCTGTGAGCGATGAATCCCCCCCACCACCACCCGGGAGAGGAGGAGGCTCCCCTCAATGGGCTGCTCACAGGGCAGCAGCTCTGTTCATTGCAGCTGGTCGTTAGTTTACGCTCCAGCTCCTGCCGTCGGAGGGCAGCAAGGAGGCGGAGGACAAAGGGAAGCGGTGGGATGCCTTCCATGCCGAAAGCGACTCCCCAGTTCTTGCTGGCCGGCCATCAGGAGCAGAGCTTGTCAGGGTGCAGCCTCTGCAGCAGTGGGTGGGCCGCTAGCCCCAGACTGGACTGCCCATCCAGGCAGATGGTTTGGTGGCTGGCCGTCAAAGCCCCGTGCCTGCTAGATTCTTAAAGGTCCCGATCCCGTGCTGGCCTTGCGACTCAGCTGAGGGATTCCCTCTCTGTGGATCCTGACAGGTATAAGCAAAGGCCCAATCTGGCCTCCTGGGAGCTGCCCTGGTTCAGGTTGGCCAGGGTCCTGATCCCTGGAACACTCACGCTTTGGGGTGACACCCCAGAGGGACAGAGCCGCCGCTGGGTCCATCCGACCCTTTCCCATTTGATCCAGGGAGGTTTTTCTCCCATGTATTTCCTGAGGAGTACAGCTTTGCCAATTTCAGACTGGTGGGCAAGAGCTTTTCAAAATAATCCAAGGATTTTTTTCCCTATGCAGTGAAAACTTTTATTTGAGAAAAACAAAGCAAGGTCAAGTTTGGACACAAGAAAATGAATGCAGAGTGTCTTGGCTGTTGAGATAAAGCCCTGATTGTGCTTAGAAAATCCCCGTTCTCCTTGCCAGAAGGCTTTGTCTCCCGTTGCTAGGCATGGGCTTTGCCGGTGAGGGTGGGGGTAGGGGTGGGGGGGCAAGCAAAGTGTCCTTAGCAATGTCATAAATCGTCACTGGAGCACGTCAGCCACACGCACGACACCGACCAAGCTGGCAATTGGGTTTGAGCCCACCTGGCACCTGGAGGCTAGGCAGTCACTCTCTGGAGTTGTGGTTGGGGTGGCGGGCGTATGGGCGGCAACTCCTCACCCTGTTTTCCGTGCCTGGAGATCCTGACTCCCAGGTATTGGTGGGGAGCCGTCATAAATCGTCACTGGAGCACGTCAGCCACACGCACGACACCGACCAAGCTGGCAATTGGGTTTGAGCCCACCTGGCACCTGGAGGCTAGGCAGTCACTCTCTGGAGTTGTGGTTGGGGTGGCGGGCGTATGGGCGGCAACTCCTCACCCTGTTTTCCGTGCCTGGAGATCCTGACTCCCAGGTATTGGTGGGGAGCCAGTGTACGGAAGGAGAGAGGAGACAGAGACAGGAAGTGGATGCGGGGGGTTGTCTTACTACGGGGTGGAGATATGAAGTGAAATGAGATTTTGAGCCACTCCCGGTTCCTTTGCCTTTGTTTTTATTTTACTCATTGCATTTATCCCCCACCCCGGCTTCCCATCCCTGCATTTCTCTTTTCCCTGGCTCCTGGCTCTTAGACCGTGGCCGTCCCTGTTTTAGAAGGAGGCATTGGGTCACACCAAGGAAGGCAAGAATGTCAAACGGTGGGGGGGGGGCAAGACCAGGGCATGGCCTCCCCTTCTGCAGCCCTGCTTCTTCAAGCCATCTGGCCATGTTAGCCTCCAAGGGAGCCAAGTGGCTGGTTGGGCAGCTCTGCTGCCTCTGTTGTCCGGCAGGAACTCAGTGTTAGGGAGGGAAAGTGGGAAATTCTGCTCTGGAGAGCCACAGTCCAGCGGGAGTCTTCCACCTGGGTGCTTGCTGTGCCAAAGGACTCGGTCATTAAAATGCCCAGACGCAATCTACTGTAAGTACACCATAAATGTGCCTCTCCAGACAGAGGGCAGCGTATTTATTTCAATGTTGCCTTTCTAATAGATTTTGCTCAGAGATCCTAGCTATCCCGTTTATAGGCGCCCCTTCCCAGGTAATCTTTCTTTGGAAAGCCTGCTTCTTGGAAAATGTACTCAGCGCACCGTTGAGAGATGACTTGGTGGGCCAGCTTGAGGTTGGCGGTCCCCGAGAGACCTCCTTGAAAGAGAGGCCCTCTGAGTAGGGCGAGGGTCAGAATAGATAGACCACCGAGCCCTCGGTTGGGAGGTCGAGGCAGCAGAGCCAGGAGCTCCCTGGCAGGCCCCCAAGCAAGCCTGTCACCCTCCTTTCTAACAAACCCCAAACCACGTGGGGCGGTGCTGCGTGCTGCGGAATGGGGGGCAGCGGCTCCCTTCTGCACCAGGCCAGACGGCCCCTTGTTCTTGCTAAGGCTCCTTCGAGGCCAGACCCGGGACCTGCCGAAACACTTTTCCCTGGCCAGACTTCCAGTCGTTCCCTTGGCAGCGTTCCCTTGGCAGGCAGCCTCCCCGTCCCCAGTTGTGAGTGTCCAGCTGAAGGGTTTTCATTCATTAACTGATGATCGTAGAGAGAAGGTGGGGGTGGAGGAGAAAGCATGGCTTTGCATGCAGAACGCCCGAGACTCCATCGCCAGCCTGTCTAGTGTCCCACTGAAGCATCACCCTGGTGCAGAGGAGGCTGAGTGGCCATGCAGTTTGCACTGCGGGCTGCGGGCTAGAGTGATGACGCTGGATTTACTCAGGCCCAGCTTGGAAATGGGAGGCTGCCAGTCAGAATAAAATAGTCCAGGCATGTTAAGCCATGGAAGGGCTTCTTCTCTTGTAGATCTTAGCTCCCTCTACCTGTAGAGCCACCTGCAGCTGAGGCCGACGTAGGTGGGGATGTCCGGCAAGCCAGGCGGCTCAGTGTCCATCTTGTCCTTCCGTCCCAGCAGGGGCCTTGGCTGCCGTTCCTCGTCCCACCACTCCTTTGTGCTTTTGCACTGCGGGCTGCGGGCTAGAGTGATGACGCTGGATTTACTCAGGCCCAGCTTGGAAATGGGAGGCTGCCAGTCAGAATAAAATAGTCCAGGCATGTTAAGCCATGGAAGGGCTTCTTCTCTTGTAGATCTTAGCTCCCTCTACCTGTAGAGCCACCTGCAGCTGAGGCCGACGTAGGTTGGGATGTCCGGCAAGCCAGGTGGCTCAGTGTCCATCTTGTCCTTCTGTCCCAGCAGGGGTCTTGGCTCCTCGTCCCACCACTCCTTTGTGCCGTTCTTCCAAGAGCAGGTAGCCCTGGCCAGGTCTCGGCCATGGAATTCAAAGAGCCACGTTGTGCTCTCATTGATTTTCTTTCTCTGCCTAAACCCTCCCCCCCCCCAGATCATCTGGTGGCTCACGGCCGAATGGCTGAAAAGGAAGCCCGGAAGAAGTTCAAGCAGATAGTGGCCGCTGTCCATTTTTGCCACTGCCACAACATCGTCCACAGAGACCTCAAGGCAGAGAACTTACTTCTGGATGCCAATCTGAATATCAAAATAGCAGGTCAGCTGTTTTTACTCACACCTGCAGGAGGCTTTCGCTAAGGGCTTCAGAGCAAATGTAGCCATCAGGAGAAAAGAGGACTTTTAGAAGGATCGTATGGTTTGAGAACTAGCAAAGAACAGGAAGAGGAGAGGAGGGGCAACCCTTTCTCATCGTGCACTTGCATAAATAGTGGGATTTCTCAAGTGTATGTGTTGGGACTGTTTGTAAGTGATTCAGAGTCAAGGAAGGGGCAGTGAGGCTGCCAAATTGCTGATGACGTGGCATTATTGGCATAACCATTAAGAGTGACGGCAAAGATGCCTCTATCCAAACAGGGAGAGTGGGATTTAAAATGGCAGGCGTGATTCAGCGTGAGCAAGTGTACGTGACACACTTGGGGGATAAACGCCTAATTTCCCATCTGTGCTGGGGGTGGTCTGAGCTGGCAGTGATGGGCCAGGAAAGGGTTTTGAGGGTAGCTTTGTGTCTCGGTGTGTGGCTGTTGTGGAAAAGGTGGATTCCATTTTGGGGAGCCCTAGAAAAGGAATTAAAACAAGACAGCCGTTTGGTGGTGCAGTTATACAAATCTATGGTCAGGTGGCCACTCTTAGAGTGCTGGGTGTCCTGTTCTGGCCCTCCCCTCGGCTGGCCTTCCAGGAAGCCACAGCTGCTTTCTCTGGTCACTGCTGGACAGACAGGAGTTGCCTCTGGGCTTCTCCCGATCGGCTGCAGCAGACAGCCCTTGAAGCACTTCCGCGGGTTGTCAGCTTTCCCCACTGCTGAGCTGATGTGAAGGTCAAAGGTAAAGGTAAAGGTAAAGGTTCCCCATGACAATTTTTTGTCCAGTTGTGTCCGACTCTAGGGGCGGCGCTCATCCCGCTCTTCAAGCCATAGAGCCAGCGTTTGTCCGAAGACAATCTTTCCGTGGTCACATGGGCAGTGTGATTTAGACACGGAACGCTGTTTACCTTCCCACCGAGGTGGTCCCTATTTATCTACTCGCATTTGCATGCTTTCGAACCGCTAGGTTGGCGGGAGCTGGGACAAGCGACGGGTGCTCATTCCGTTGCGTGGATTCGATCTTACGACTGCCGGATCTTATGACCCTGCAGCACAGGCTTCTGCGGTTTAGCCCACAGCGCCACCACGTCCCTGCCAAGGTCAAAAAGGCGCTTGAAATCTTGATGGCTGATCGGTGACACTGGCTAGCCACTGAATCTGTTCCCGACTTGCACTGTTTCAGATTTTGGATTCAGTAACATCTTTACACCTGGCCAGCTGCTGAAGACCTGGTGCGGAAGCCCTCCTTATGCAGCCCCTGAACTGTTTGAAGGGAAGGAGTACGATGGGCCAAAGGTGGACATCTGGGTATGACCTGGAGACGGGTTTGGCATTGCTAGGGTTCCATCTTCTTCTTTTTTCAGGAGCGAGAGTCAAAGAATAATAGTGTTGTAGATCTGGAGGGGACATCAAGGTCATGTGGCCCAAGCCTCTTTCAGCACCTGAATCCACATGTGAAACCTCCCTTCCTGGGGAGGCCATACCTGATAGAGAAGATTCTACCATTGAACAACTGTGGGGAAATCCTTACTAAGGTTTAGTCAGAGTCTCCTTTGCCCCCATAACTTTGGGTGCCGAATCCTGGAGTTGCAGAACACAAGGCCACTCCGTCTTCCAGGGGACAGGCGGCCCTTTTGAGACCTGGAAAGGGCTCTCTTACCACCTCTCCGTCTTCTAAACTCCAGGCTAAATGTCCCCATCCCCTCCCACCCCCAACTTCCAGAACACGTTCTTACTAGCTGGTATGAAAAGGCCTCTTTTTGTGATTGAACAGATTTGTTTAATAAGCCAATAGTTGACTCTCTCCCCGCCCCCCCCATCTTTGCTTGAGCTCCTCTTGAAAGGGGCTCGTGAAAGAATATGGTTGGGAAGCTTTTCTCACGAGGCTTTGCTGTACAAAGGCTGAAATTGGCCTCTGATGGTGGTTGCACCCAATGGGTCTGACCGGCCTGTGCCTGTGGTCTCCTCTTGCGCAGAGCCTGGGTGTGGTGCTCTACGTGCTGGTCTGCGGAGCCCTGCCTTTTGACGGGAGCACGCTGCAGAACCTGCGGGCGAGGGTGCTGAGCGGGAAGTTCCGCATTCCTTTCTTCATGTCCACAGGTAAGGTGCCCTGAGCGGCAGGCCACGGCAGCCCCTCTGTGTGTGCGCGCGCGTGTGCGTGTGCGTGTGCGTGCGTGCAAGCGCGCGTGCATGACGTCCTCCTCGGCCAAGTGGGACTAAGTTCAACGGCTCCATCGCTGGCACACAACGCAAGAGCAGGCGGCGGTCTCCTCTGGGTCAGAGACGGGAAGGCGGCAAGGGCAAGGCTCGTTAGGCTGCCCAAGAGCTTACCAGGCAAAACGTCTTCGGCTTTGCTGGGACTCGTGGCCGCTTTGTCTCAGGTGGCCTGCCAGGGATCCTGTCCTTTCTGGAACAAGTGGCCGCAACAAAATCCCTTCTCATCTGAGTTCCAGCATTGCCCTTCCAAGGGCCTGGGGGATGAAAGGCATTGCTAAGACCTGCTCATAGGATTCTAGAATGGCGAGGGGAAGGGCCTTGCTGGGACCCTGTTTGGGGGGGGGGAATGGGGCCAGCTGGCTAGCCAGGAGGTGGCCTTTTGTCCTGCCCCCCTCCCTCTGGTCTGGGAAGCGCCTGCACCCATCCAGTGTGATCCAGGGCCTTTGGCATCACCAAAGGATACCATTCTGGATGTCTCTGAAGAGAAGAATGGCATAGAAACGAAATCAATGAAGACATCCATTCATCCATGTTACATCTGGATTTTTGCCAACCCCGATTTCTTTTCCTGTGGATCAGGAGAGAAATGGCTTCAGCCGGAAGGACCAGTAGCTACCACTCCGCTGGCCCCGTGGAGCTGTGACAGTTCTGTGTCCAAGCCGCGGCTGGTGGGGAGGAGTCAACTGAAAGCTGGCTCCCTCCATGCCTCCTCCAGTGTTGTTAGAGAAGGGAGATGGGATGGTGGAGGCTGGCTTTCTCTCTCCCCCCCTCTCCAAATGCCCTTGGTTTCAGGCAGGAGGTCTGAAGCTGGAGGGCTGGCAGCTTGGATTTGCTGAGGGGCGGGAGTGGAGAGGCCTTTGTAGGATGGCCACAAGCAAGTGAAGGGCACGCGGCCGTCTGACGTCACCAGACCAGCCTTTCTGTGAGCAGACAATGTTGACCTTGAGGAAAAGCCATTTCCGACTTGCTTTCAGAACGACTGCCAGTTTTGTGCCAGCATTATTAATGCGGTCTCCTTGTGACGGAATGATCAGTGATGCCACCTGAGGCTTTTTATTACCTAAGTAGCAAGTCACAGCTTCAGGAGCCCCTTTGGTAGCTGAGGTAGCGAAGAGACCGCCTGCCTGCCTGCCTGCCCTGAGCTACGACCTGCGCCAAGGTAGGAGGCAGGCCCAGCGAGCGCAGCCAGGATCGTACCAACTAGGACAGTCCATCCAAGAAGATTGGGGGGAGGAGGAAAGTAGCGCTGGGGCCCTCCCATCCTTTGCTAGTCTTGCACACCTCTGGTTCTCTTCTCTCTCTGGGCCTCCCTGCTCTCGCCTGCCTGTGCCGCTGGAGGCCCTGCACGCCTGCCCCGGGGTGTGTGTGTGTGTGTGTGTGTGTGGGGGTGGCAGCACTACAGTAGCTGGCTGGTTGGCGTCTCTGTTCCAAAGAGCGGTTCCCGTGGGCAGACCCTCAGCCATCCCTGGCCCCGGGGTGTGTGTGTGTGTGTGTGTGTCGGCAGCACTACAGTAGCTGGCTGGTTGGAGTCTCTGTTCCAAAGAGCGGCTCCCGTGGGCAGACCCTCAGCCATCCCTCTCTCGGGTTGCTTTCCTCCCTCTTCAGAGCCTTTCTGTGAGTGTCGCTGGTGGGGCCGGGTGGGGGACGTTGGGTGGGCTAGACGAGGAGCCAGCTGGAAGTGTGCCCAGTGACTTGGCCTCAGGCAGCGGGGGGCGGGGGGGCGGAGCTGTGCACCCGCCTGCTGGGTTCCTGGCACCCTGCCCTCTGCGCTTCTCCTCTGCCAACCTTGGGAGGCTTCCCCCAGGGCCGTGCTGCCCCTGTGGCTGTCCACTAGTCCTTCTGTGTTCTGCCTGTGGCTGCTTGTTCCGCCGTCTCCTTCCATCGGAAGGGTTCCTCCTTGGCCGTTTCCTGCCTCAGGGGCCTATGCGGATCTGCTCTGGACATGCACTCGGAAGGGCCAACGCTGTCACAGCCTTCCTAGTCCTTTTTCCCCGACTTCCCTGGGTCTTGTCTCCGGTTTGCCCTGGAGAGGAGGGGCATCCTCTCCAGCCCCACTGGCTGGCCAGTTTTTCATCTTCTTGCTTAGCTTGGTATCCTAGCATATGGACTGCTGCCAGTAGAGCGGCTGCTCGGAAGGAAGATGGGTCGAGAGGGGCGGTGGGCGCCCAGGCTCTTCCCCCTTCCAAAGCTGAGCCTGCCCACAAGTCTCTCCTGTGCCCTTTGAGGCAGGAGGTCAAAGGCACATGTTTGGGGTCTGTCGGATTGCAGACCCCGCCTGCTGTTGCTGCCAACGGGCTGTGCGGATGCTGAAGGAGGGCTGCCCCGGCCCTCAGCCTTCCCCACCCCATCTCCTTGCCACATGCTCTCTTGCAGAATGCGAGCACTTGATCCGCCACATGCTGGTGCTGGAGCCGAGCAGGCGGCTCTCCATGGAGCAGATCTGCAAACACAAGTGGATGAAGCTCGGCGAGGCCGATGCCGAATTCGACACGGTGAGTGAGACAGGGTGGTGTGTGGGGGCGTTCTGAGTGGTGTCCAGATGCCCCCCAAGCAAGAGTGGTCAAGCTCTGTGTTGAGTTGGCTGTCGGGCGAATGGCTCCTGGGCTTACCCATCCCTGTGAGATAATAAGCTGTCCAGGCCACCAGCCATGTATGTCATAAATGGATGCTCTGCGGATGCTTGATCAGAAGCCCGTGTGCCAGCTTGAGCAGAATTTGTTTAGCTATCAGGAAGAGGAGGCGGGGGAGGGGACATAGGCTGAGGATGCGTAGGGAAGGGGAAGGGGAAGAGGAAGAGGAAGGGGGGATGCTAGGAGTGGAGGCTGAGTCAGGAGACAGCCCAGAGGCCTCATCTCTTGCTCAGCTGCTGTTTTCAAAAGACCTCTCTGACCTTGAGGGCTAGACACTTGAGGATGGGTGTTGAGTGCAGGGATGTATGTGTGTTATTAAAGCCAGCCCTAGGAGCCAAATTCCACAAATGTGGGGTTTTGCAGGTAAAGCATTGTGTTAGAAAGGCTGTAGTGGTGGGAGGTGGAGAAGACATCTGTGTGCTGGCTTACCGGGGGGGGGGGCACACGCAGAGGCCTCCGTGGGCTCAGCCCTTTGCCTCAGAGTGAGATGCCTCTCCGCACAAGACAGCCTCTCTTTCTTGGTGGGGGGGACATACCCCTCAAAGCTCCTCCCTGCATGGAGGCTTCTCCTTCTGCTGGGAGCGTCTGAAGCACCACGGAAGGGCTGTGTGTTTTCCAGCTGATTGCCGAGTGCCAGCACCTGAAGGTCGAGAGGCAGATGGAGCCCCTGAACGACGAGGTGCTGCTGGCCATGGCTGAGATGGGTCTGGACAAAGAGCGCACCCTCCAGGTAGGGGCGGTGCGGGGGGCGGCGGCGGCGGAGCATCTTCAGTCCCCTTGCCTGGGCCAGGGAGCAGAAGGGTGACTGGACCATTTCTGTTTCTCTGCCCTCCCAGTCCTTAAGAACCGACGCCTACGATCACTACAGTGCCATCTACAGCCTGCTCTGCGATCGCCTGAAGAGGCATAAGAACCTGCGCATTTCCACCCAGCCTAGCCTTCCGCGGAGCCTGGCCTTCCCAGCACCAGCGGGCATCCAGGTCAGTCTGAGATGAGGGCTGCTCTGTTCCAGGGAGGAAGGGCCTGGCGTTCAGGAGCCTGTCTCCCTCTACCCTCGGCAAAACCGGCTGCTTCTGTTATTTGGGGTGGGGGGAAGGCCAGCAGCAAGAAGTCCCTCTCCCTGTGACCTTGGACGCAGCAGTTGTGCGTCTGTGTGGACAAGTGGATCTGTCAAAGTACTTTGGAGGCAGAACTTGCGAGCCTTCCTCCAGCAGGGCCTGGCCCACCCTGTCCCCTGTCCCCCAGGGACCTCTGTCTCTCCTGGCTGCTTTAGCTCTCAGGCCCTCACAGTTCTCCCTCCCAGCCAGCAAAACCTGAAATGGGCTCAGCTACCCTCTGACGTCTCCTCCTCGGTCTCTCTGTGCGTGTCTCTCTCTGGGGGGGGGGATGCTGAGGTGGCAGCCCAGAGCCTGGTATGGATGGGGGGCGGCCTGCCCGCATGGTGAGGGGAGCGTTTGGGTGGGGCCTGCCGCTGGCGCTGAGCAGGAGGGGCAGGGCCTGCAATTCCAGTGGCTTTCTCTCCCTAGCCCTCAGAGTTTGGATTGTGCCTCCTTTGCAGACGGAGCAGCCAGGCAGCACGGTGGGCCTCAGTGTCCCCCAGGTGCAGCTGATCAACCCAGAAAACCAAATCGTGGAGGTAAGTGCCCTTCCTCTCTCCCGGGGCCCTTCCAAACCCTTTCCTCCTGCGTGTCTTCTTGCGCCCTTACTCCCTTCTGTTTGTGTGCCTTTGCTGCAGACGGATGGAACCATGAACCTGGACAGTGACGAAGGGGAAGAGCCCTCTCCGGAAGCTCTGGTCCGCTATCTCTCCATGAGGAGGCACACCGTGGGGGTGGCTGACCCTCGGTGAGTGTTGCTCCCTGGCTGCTGTCCTTTCCAGGTGATGCTGGGGCGTCCGTCCCCCCCCCCGCTGCCGCCCAGTGCTGCAGCCTTCTGGCCGAAGAGCCTGGCTTTTCCCTCTCGGTGGTGATTTTCTTGGTTCGAGTTCCTGAGCCCCCTGGAGGAACAGCCTTCCAAAGTGCCTGCTCCCAACAGCGAGGGCTGGAAAGCCTCAGCCCAGAAAACGGTGGGATGGCTGCAGAAGCCTCTGTTGCTGCCGCCGCCACTGCTGCCGCCACCTCCTCGTCTTTCCCAGGAGCTGCGGGCAGAGGCAGCCTGCGTGCAGAGGCCTGGAGCACCTTTCTTTCCTCTTGAGTGGCTTTGCTTCTCTTTGCAGCACCGAAGTCATGGAGGATCTCCAGAAGCTGCTGCTGCTGCCGCCAGGATCTCCCCGTGTCACGCCACAGGCTCCCTTCCTCCAGGTGGCCCCCAACATCAACGTGGCCGCCAACATGCTTCCCCTGCAGCACCTGCAGCCCACCGGCCAGCTGGAGTACAAGGTACGAGGAGGGAGAGGCCTCCTGGGGACCTGATCTTGGCCCCTCTTCCTTGGAGGGGGCCCAACACCTGGGGCTCCCGTCAGGCTGGCGGACGGGCTTCTAGATCAGCTTTGGAACGAGCAAAGGTTGGGCAGCCGTGTTCCCAAGATCTCCTTTGCGCTGGAGAGGCTTCTGGCCCCACGGCACCCTCCCTCCCTCCCTCCCTGCCTGCCTGCCCCTTTCCTCCTGGCTTTCAGGTCAGGAGCTGGTAGAGACGGAGGCTTCTTTTGCAGGAGCAGTCGTTGCTGCAGCCCCCAACTCTCCAGCTGCTGAACGGGATGGGGCCCCTCGGACGGAGGGCCTCAGATGGGGGAGCCAATATCCAGCTCCATGCCCAGCAGCTCTTGAAGCGCCCCCGGGGCCCATCGCCGCTTGTCACCATGACGCCAGTAAGTAACGTGGCCCTTAGGGGCACTCCTGGCTGAGCCAGCCTTCTCCCACTCCCCTCCCCTCGCCCACCCACTTGCTTCCTTTCATGCTCTCGCTTTTTTGCGTTTCAACCAGAGGCCTCGTTGCTGCTCTTTCTTCGAAAGCCGGCTGAATTGCAGAGAGCCGGCTCGGGGGTTCACTTTTCACAGTTCTAGGACGGCACCAAGGCTTGCGCCACCAGCAGGGAGGGCCCAGCCATGCGCCAGCCGCAGGTCGGAGAGGGTCAGTTTGCGATACGTCTCCTGGACCTCCAGTCGTCTTGCCCGCTGTCCTACGGGCCCCCGTTCCTACTGGCCCCACAGCTGTGGATTCTCTCCCAGGACAGGGGTCTCCCTCTCCCCTCCAAGTCATAGGCAGGAAAGCCCGTCCTGGTCACAGGTCCTCAGGCAGGAGGCGTTGGATTTCCCGTGGGAGAATTTGTCTAGAGCTGCACCCACCGACACACAGTTGATGGAGCCATGCTTTTTTTTTTTTTTTTGAAAGAGAAGCTTGAAAGAGGCAGACCCCACGTCATACACGACATAGAGAATCACAAATCAGAGCATCTTTTGGGAGCAATCTACGTCGGAGTGGGAATGCTTCTATGAAACGAGGCTGTCGTAGTCCAGCTGTGGTTGAAGTGCTTGACAAGCTTATCTCTTGTCCTGGAGGTTTAGGTTCTCTGTGTCTGTTTCCCTCTAGCTCCGGACCCTTCCTGGACTCCTTTAAAGCCACTGCAGAAGTGAGGAGTTCCTGCTCTCTGGATTTGAATTGGGGGCGGGGGGCTCTTTAGGGGTGGGTCTAAATTTCTAGACTCCTTTCTGCAGACCCCAAGGCTCTGCTTTTCTTTTCTCCAGGCAGTGTCCGCCGTGACCCCCGTGGATGAAGAGAGTTCAGATGGGGAGCCAGATCAGTGGAGCGTGCAAAGGTAACCCTCTTCCTGTTGCTGCTGCTGCTGCTGCTGCTGCCACCTGCTCTTTGCCCCAGGGGTCTGGCAGGCGGTTTCACGACGACTGTGCTTCAGGTTTGCTTCTGCCCCCTGCTTCGTCCGTGCTGCTCTGGGAACTGGGTTTTCACACGGACTTTGCTATAATAGCGACGCGCCTCAGCTCCCTTCCCTGGTCTTCCTACTAACCTCTTTGTGCTGACTGGGTGGGTGGGCACAGCTTCTTCTAGTGCTTGGGGCTGCTCTATAACCATAGCCTTCCAACTCAGCTGATCCTCCCCGGGCTCTCTGACCTCTGGGCACAGGGGTTGAAGACTACCAAGGGGCAGAGCTGTTGAAGCCACGGGCCACGCTGCCCTTCCAGGCGTGGCCTTCTCTCTAGCTGGCCTCCTGGGGAAAGACAGGCAGGTGGCCTTGGTTGTGATTGTCGAGCCGCCAGGGGTTTGCCACAGTTTGGAGGCCAGCCTTCTGAACTTTGGGGCATCCAGACTTGCTAGCAGAGTTCTTGTGGTTTGCCTAGAGCAGGCGCCTCGCTGAGGGCAAGCAGAGAAACAGGGCGTGAAGGCTTGAAGGGTCATTTGATGTGGAGTTCGGACGCGTCTGGATGGGGCGCCGTGGTGGCAGGTCCTCCTCTGGCTCACTCCTGTCTCTCTTGCCACATGTCTGGGAACCAGGGCAACACGGAAGGTCTGTCCTTCTCTCCCCTCCTTTCTCCGTTCACATCCCTGTGTTGGTGGGCAAGGGAGCCAAGCTGCAACCCGTGAAACTGCCTTGGGTCCTGTGGAGCCAAGAGGCTCCCCGAGTGAGGCCTTTGCTCCCTCTGGCCCAGGATGATAGCTCCTTTGATCAGCCACAGTGGTCCAAGGTCTCAGGCTAGGAAAGGCTCTTCCGGTGCCTCGCCTGCCTGCCTGCCTGTCTGAGGGGAGATGCTGTCAGGCATTCACTCACTCACTCACTCATGGCTTATTTACTTACTGCATCTGCCTCCTGCTTTTCTTCTGTTTTCAGGACCCAAGGCAGTTTCTCACCTGAGTTAAAAGCAAACATAGCTAAGGACCTGATCACTTGTAATGTTGAAGCACAAATAAGAAAAGACAGAATGAAAACCATTTAAAAGCCCGCTGTGGCTCTCCCTACTCTCTCTACAGTAGAACAGGGGAGAGAGGGAAAGCACTGTCACTGTCCCCCCCGGGTGGCAAAAAGGCCATTCTTCAGTCACTAGTCGGTGGCCCAGGGCAGGGAGGGGGCCAGCCTGTCCTTCCTCGAAAGAGTGCCCCCCCCAGCCCGGAAGCAACTGGCAGTGGTGCCAGGAGAAGATTCTGCCAGCCTAGCCTTGGGAGCAGCTCTCGGGTGGAAATAGCCCGCCCCTTGCGGCACGGCTTAAAGGGTCTGGAGGGATCGTCCCCCTTGGAGGCCTGGGGGGGGCGGCTGCGCCCCAGCTGGCTCTTGTGCGGAGGACGGCCCCTGCCACCGAGAACCTTTTTCTGTTCAGGTTTGCTCTTCTCCCCTGGAGGGAGCCCATCAGCTTGAGGGACAGGCAGAACCCCTCCTTCTCTTCCCCCCCCCCCCCCGCAGAGTCGATAACCCGGCCCTTTCTCGCAGCTGCTGGGGTGGATCTGCTGTTAACGCTTCCCTGCCCGCCCCTTGCTTTGCTTGGGTTTTCTGTAGGCTGGTGATTCTGGTTTCTCCAGCGTGGCCCTGGGCCCCAAAGGGCCAGTCTCTCTATCCCCTCCTCCACATCCCTGCTCTGGGTCCTGCCTCACCCCCATGCCCACCCCCAGAGAGTGAGGCCGTGGTGTGTGGCCCCCCGTCCCACTCCCTGCTGCTCTTGCTCCCTCTTTGGAGCGCTCCAGGCCGCCGCCCCCCCCTTCACTGAATGCGCTCCTGCTTGTTGCAGATACTTGGCCCATAGGTCCAAAAGGCACACCCTGGCAATGACCAACCCCACTGCGGAAATCCCGCCCGACTTGCAGAGGCAGCTAGGACAGCAGCCCTTCCGCTCCCGGGCTCCGCACCTGGCACCCGACCAGCACCGGTGAGTACTGGCACCGGCGCTTGGGGAGCTCTGCACCAGGGGAACCGGCGCTTGGGGGCAGAGGGCTGCACCCCGCTCCACCCCAGGCCGAGAGAGGCTTGAGGTGCAGGCCCATGGCCTGCCCCCCCCTCCAGCATTCCCCGGGCCGGTCTTGTCTCGAGACCTTCCTGAACGTCCAGCCCCTGAGGCGGTGTCAGGCCAGAGAGAACTGGGCATGGGCAGCCATGGGTGCCGGAGGGCTGGCCTTGGCCAGCAAGATGGTCAGCTGCTGAGTTGGTCTCCCAGGGAGCAGGGAGCCTCTGCCACGAAGGGGGGGGCGAAGCCGGATGCACGGGCCCCCTGGGCCCTCCTGGGGAAGCACTCCCGGGCTCCACCTTGTCTGAGTGACCAGGGGGAGCACGAGAGAGCCGAGGCCCTTGCCCCGGCTTCGTTCTTGCCCCTGTGATGCCCTGCAGGTGGTCGGTCAGGGGCAGAGGAGCAGGGCAGCTGCCTCTGGCCATGAGAGCCCGTGCCCCAGCCCTGGAGCACCTGCCCCAGGCAGCGGCAGGAGGGTGTCCCTGTGCCCGGGCAACCACGGAGGGTTCGGCTTCTCTTGTAGGCAGGCCTCTGAACCCTGGTCATGGGACCTGCGCCGCCGCGAGAGTTGGCAGGATGTCCCTGCTGTGCGGCCCTGCAGAGAGTCCCCTGCAAGGGGAGGAGGTGGGAGGGAGGGAGGGCAGTGGCAGGAGCCCAAGGGTGACCTTTGGCCGTTGCGACAGGGGGGCTCTCTCTCTCTCTCTCTCTCTGTGTGTCTCTCTCAAGCTGGGGCCACGGGAGAGCCCCGAGCTTGCCTGGCGAGGTTGGCCCCAGAGAGGCTGCCTGAGGCCCATTGCGGCTCTCTCTCTCTCTCTCTGTGTCTCTCTCAAGCTGGGGTCACGGGAGAGCCCCGAGCTTGCCTGGTGAGGTTGGCCCCAGACAGGCTGCCTGAGGCCCATTGCAGCCCCCCCCCATAGCCTCAGAAGGAAGGCTGCCTTCCCTCCCCCCTGTTTTTGCGGAGGGGCCCGTCTTGGTCCCCCCTCCCTGACTGGCTTTGCAGCAGCCCCCCAAGCCCATGTTCTCCTTGCCCTCAAAGCTGCTGAGCTCGGCAGTCACCTCACCCGCCGGAACAGCTGAACTCTGAGCCCCGGGAGCTCTGCGGGCCCTGCCACGCTGGAGCCTCCGCTCCGATCCAAGATAAGGCCTGCTGACCCCGGGTAACTCCCGGCCTGGAGCCTCCGTGCGGCAGTCACCGTCACGCTGAGTAAACACGAGTCCTGGACGGGACAGAGGCAGCCAGCCGGGGCCGGGCAGGGCTCCTTTCTCTTTGCCCCGAGCTTTGACAGGCCAGCCTGGCAGGAAGCAGTTTCTCTCTTGCCACCGCTGGTCGGGAGGCGGCCAATCCTGGTACCCCTTGCAGGTGCCCCCCCCAGGGCCTGTCCTCCCCCGGTGGTTCTTGGCCTTGGCCTGGCATTGCCTGCCAGTCCCTTCAGGGCCTGAGCCGTTGGCAGGTCTTGCACCGGGACAGGCCCTTGTTGGTGTCCCTGCCCTCCCTTCCACCAGCACATGGGTGGCTGACCCCCCCTCCACCCCCTGCCCCCAAAGCCCAAGGCCCAGGGACAGGGGGAGGGTTTGCTTGCAGACCCTCAAGGGGCCACACGGTCAGGGGAGGGGTTGTTTGTGAGGAGATGGCGCGCCCTCTCCTCCCCTGGCCAGGGAGCAGCGTGGCCGGTTGGGGAGGATCTGGGCCTTTTCTACACGGGGTCCCCTCAGTGACCACACCATGGTCACTCTTGACCGAGGGGGCAGGGGGGGCCCTGGACACTGTCACCCCAGATGTAAGTTCTCCCAGCCCTGGGCTGGCCTGTTGGGTGTGTGTGTGTGTGTCTGTGAGGCCACCTGCTCCTTTTGCGGCGCACTGCCTGGCTGGAGCCTGGCAGGCCCGTTGCAGGGAGCCCATGAAAGCCCTGCATGGAGGGAAGGGCAGGACTCGAGAGAGAACAGACGTGTGGGTATGCAAACCCAGGAGCAACCTGACAAATGGACCCCGCTGGGACTGGCAGGTGTCTTCAGTGGGTCTGGTGCTGAGCCGAGGACGGGAGCCACAGGGGCTTGGGGTCAGTGGCCAGGTGGCAGAGATGGGCGAGGGTTGGAGGGCTTCGCAGGGTGTCCGGAGTGAAGGGAGGGGGCTGGGGGCTGCAGCCTGGCGCCTTCCTGGCACACCCTCTTTGGGCTCGAGAGGGGGAGTTGTAGGGGCTCCTACGGTTTGGGCTTTCAGAACTCAAGGAGTCCCATCCCTGTTCTTTGGGGGGAACCCCCAGGCCAGATGATGAGAGGTGGAGCCCTCCAGGCGGCGGGGCAGCCCCCTCACCTTTGCGACGTTCCTTCAAGGGATTCAAAACGGGGCCTCTGCCAGACCTGTTTCTCTCCTGCGCTTGGCCCTTAGCAGGGAATCTCTGTGCTCCCCGCCATCCAGTGGGGCCCCTTGTGAATCGTTCCCAGCGGTGCAGGAGTGGCCGGGGGGGGGGCTGCTCTTCCTCCTTCCACTTTGAGGGCTCCTGGCTGGTCCGATTGGATGTGCGGCGCTTCCTGCTGAATTCGGGGAGTTTCCAAGCCTCCGTTCCCTACTGGCTTAGGAAGGGGCTGTGCTTGGCTAATGCCCGGGGCCCTCTCTCGGTTGGCAGGTTCCGTAGTGGAGCCAGCCTTGCTCCGCATGGGGAAGGCCGCTCGAGCGCGGATGCCGGAGAGAAGGCCGTAGCCCTCCGGGGAGACGGCTCTTCCTTCCAGGCCTCTCTGGCACTCGGTGGCCCAGGAGGACTCTGCACTTGGGCTCAGCCTGCGGACCAGGGAGGGACTGGCTCAAGCCAGGGGGTTTCCCTCTTTTCTCCCTAGACGAATGGCGGGAGGGCCACCTACTGCCTCCTCAGCAGCTGCAGCTGGCACCCTCTTCCCTGAGGCCCTGATTCCACGTAACCTGCTGTCTTGGGGAAAGGAGACAGGGACCTTGGAAAGGGGAGGAAGAGGGACGTCTAGCCGTCTCGCTGACCCAATTTGGGGGTCGGTGGGCGGCTGAGGCCACCTGAAGCCCAGCTTCTTGCCCTGGCCCCAGCGGAGTTTGCCCAGGCCCTCCTCTCCCGCTGCGCCCGTGATTCTCCTAACCAGCCACTGGATTGGGTCAGGGCTGGGCGCCGGCAGGCAGGCAGGGGAGCCGACTGGCCTGGTGCTCAGCAGCTCCTGCTTTTTCTCTGCCTCCTGGGTGGACACCAGCCCGTTGCTAAAGATGAGAAGTCTAGCAGCCCCTTTGCGGGTGCTGAGGAATTTCCAGCCCCTGTTCATGGCTTGGAGACCTTTCCCCCCTTGTCTTGGCACTTGGCCCTCCACCAAAGGGGGGGGGAGGCAGGTGGGAGATGCCAGCCCCATCCTCCCCCTTTCTCCAAGATGTTGCACCACCCCTGGAGGGGAAGGCCGGGGGGGGGCAGGAAGGGGCCAGGGCTGCTGAGACGGCTCTGGAAAGGAGAGCGTCTGCCAGCCTTCCGTGTGAGATGAGAGGAAGCCGTGTGCGGGGTTCCTTCGGGGAGGCGCTGGAGCGAAGCAGCGCATTTCTGCTTCCGGGCTGCCCTGCAAGAGGGACGTTTGTGGTGGCTGATGCCTTTTGTTCCTGTGAGAAACGGCCGGTTCCCAGCCCTTGGGGGTTCAGCGGGGCCCCTTCTGACCTGTGCCCGTGTGTGTTTGTGTGCTCGTACAGCTACATCTATAAGGATTCCAACACGCTGCACCTCCCCACGGAGCGCTTCTCCCCGGTCCGCCGCTTCTCTGACGGGGCTGCCAGCATCCAGGCGTTCAAGGCCCAGCTGGAAAAGATGGGCAACCACAGCAGCATCAAGCAGCTCCAGCAGGTGAGGGGGTGGCCGCTGGGGAGCTTAGCAGGAAGGGTGAGCAGCCGCAGCAGCTGCTTCCTCCACCCTGAAGGGGTAGCTGTGATCCCGCAGTCCAGCCTCCTCTCCGCAGGGGGCCCAGGCCCAGAGGGACCCATTAGTGGGGCTTCCTCAAGAGTCTGTCCTGCTCCGCCACGCCAGGCAGCAGCCAACGTGGGCACTGGTGGCTTGTTTCAGGAATGTGAGCAGCTCCAGAAGATGTACGGGGGCCACATCGATGAGCGGACCTTGGAGAAGACCCAGCAGCAGCATATCTTGTACCAGCAGGAGCAGCATCACCAGATCCTTCAGCAGCAGATCCAGGTATTGGGGCGTCCGAGGGCCGCAGGGTGAGCCCACGCTTTGCAGAGCCCTCGGCCCCTCCCTCTTTCTTGGAGGAACCGCAGCTGCTGCTCGGTGGAGCGGGCCAGGCTCTCCCGTGCAGGATCCCAGGTGCAACCTTGGGTGTAGTTTGAGGCAGGGCTGGGAAGGACTCAGGCCAGGGTTGCTGCATACAGTCCATGCTGACACACTAGCCATCATGTTTGCTCCTCCCCCCTCCCCTGGTGAATTCTCCATCGGCCTGCAGTTCTCCCCTCTGGCCTCAGTGGGAACGGGTTAGGGTGTCCTTGCTGGCCAGCCCCCTGCATCCTTGGCCTGGGTGGCACCTGGGCAGTCGCAGTTCCTTTGTGGGTATATCCACGCCCTCCTCTGCTCCCTGGCAGCTTTCTTTCCCCAATTGGCTCTCCCTTGCAATCACCCCACACGCTTCCTTTAGCCTTTGGCCGAAAGGGTTCTTCCTGCAGGGAAGGCTGTGCTTGACCAGCCTGCTTCGTGCTGGAGTGCCCCTCAGCCACCACTCCTGCTGGCCCCGGCTCCCACCTTCCCAGCCTGCCTCCATTTTGCCTTTTGCCAATGGGTGCCCCTGCTGAGCGACCTCACTTTTGCCTGCCTTCCTCCCTCACACAGGATTGTGTCTGCCCTCCTCAGCCCTCTCCGCCCCTCCAAGCTCCAGGGGAAAACCAGCCTGCGCTGCTCACTCACCAGCTCCAGAGGTAAATAGCAACTCCAGCCCTGTGTCCTGGGAGGGGGGTGCAGGAGGCTTCAGGCGAGCGGAGTGGATGCTCCACCATCTTGTGCTGGACGGCAGGCCTGCTCAGATCCCAGAACTGAAACAGGCAAGAGTTCCCTTCCCCATGCATGTAGACCCAGATACGCAGCTAGACCTGAACAGAACATTCTTTGAATGTTTGATCAAGTTTCCCCAGACAGACAGACAGACAGACAGACCGGCAGACTGGAGCCATTCTGCAGGGGAGCAGACACTGCAGGGAGGTGGTGAGATGGCTTCTCTATCAGGAAAGGGACGCTCAGGGGTTGGGAAGGCTGTGTCTCAGGCAGGGCAAGATCAAGGCAGGCCTTCTGCTGAAGAAAGTGGCAAAGTGCAGTGGCCTTGGCTGCCGGCAGGAAAAGAAAGGCTGAGTGAGGATTGGCCAGCAGCTGTGAAGTCTTGCTTCCCGGTTTACAGAAGTGTGTGTGTGTGTGTGGGTCTCCTGGTAGGAGGGCAGATGGCAGGAAAGTTCAATGAGTTGGTCAAAACCTTATCATTGCAGTATGTAAATAAGGAATTTTGGAACACGGGCAATTTCAGCGGGAACAAAATATTTATTAAAATTCGTGCCACTTTTTTTCTGGTTTAACCTACTTGGCATAGTTGGGTTTTTTCCCTTAAGAAAAGAAAAAACCATGAGTGCCTCCCGCCTCCAGGCCTTAATTTGTGTCAATTAGCATTGGAGGGTCAGTGACCAGGAGGAAATGCTGAAGGTTGTAGTGGCCCCTCCCCTTCCGCCCCAGCTGCTGCTTTTGGTGTGGAAGCCCTCCTGTCCTGTCCCCCCCCCCCGCAGGCGCGCCACTTGATTCGTTGCAGGCATGACCCAGGCTGGCTGGCGCATTGCCTGGCCCAAGTGCACCACGGGATGTAGGGCCTGCCTGTGCCAGACCGTCTCCCCAGCCTTGCAGTGGAGGAAGAAAAGGGTGGACGGCAACATTCTGTAGGGTGGCGAGGGAGAGCCCCCCCCCCACTACCTGGCTGGCTTTAAAGGGCAGTGAGGCAGATGGAGAACAGAGAAGGTGGTCTGTGGCTCACGCATCGCAATGGCTGAGGAGAAGTTGCTGGGGTAGGCGAGGGACCCTCAGTCCCGTTTGCGAGCTTTCAGGGGTTGGCCCAGATGGGAACAGGGTGCTGGGTTATCCTTTGGCCCCGATCCCACCTCAGAGCTCTTCTGACGTTCCCCATGTTCTCAAAGACGGCTGTTCCACATCCTCCAATACACTGGTTATTTCTGAAAAGATGCTCTTCCCTGTGTCCCTGTGTGTGTATAGGCTACGGATCCAGCCCTCCAGCCCCCCTCCCACCCACCCTAGCAACCCCCTCGTCTTCAGGCAGACGGACGCAACCACCTCGTCTTCAGGCAGACGGACAGTAGCTCCCCTCCGGTCAGCAGCAGCATGCTCCAGGGCCATGGTAAGTGCCAGCTGCTCCTCTCCTCTCCTCTCCGGTCGGGTCGCTCCTCATCCTTCTGGAGGGCTTCTTGCTCTGGCGACTCGGCCGCAGGAGGCACAACTTCCCCCCGTCCGTCCGTGGAAGCTCTGCCTGCCTCGCCCTCGGGGCTTGGCTGCAGAGTCTGATAAAGGGCAGCTCCTGGCCCCCAAATGGCTGAGACTGGCCCTCCCTCAGGCTGAGGCAGTGGTTAATGGACAGGGTTCCTCTCTGCAGGTGCCACCTCGCCATCACAGTTCCAGGGGATGCCTGCCCACGGAGCCCTCTTCCAGCAGCAGCAGCAACAGGCTGGCAACTGCTCCCCTCCCCCCAGCCTACCCCTCTCCTGCCTGGGGGTGCAGCAGCCGGGCCAGGGGCCTCCGGTCAGCATGCAAGTGCAGGATCCTGGAGAGGTGGTGGGCAACAGCCTGCTACAGGCTGGGCGTGGCATGCCGATTGCTCCCAGTGCCAACCAGTTGCAGATGCACCAACGTGCCAGCCTGCTGGCCTCCTTGGCTTATGGACACAGACCTCTCTCCAAGCAGCTCAGCGCAGACAGTGCGGAGTCACACAGGTAGGGCATGTCCGTGTGTGTGTGTGTGTATATGTGTCTGTCTGTCTGTCTTGTGTGTCTGCAAAATGGTTGGGGTGGCCCTGAACCGCTGGCAGCAAACATGCAGCATGAGAGATGCTCCACAGGCCACACCCTGCCGTGCCCCCCTTGGCTCCCCACAGAACACTCAGCTAATTAGTGGGGGAAGTGGATCCGAGGTGGCCTTTTGCTGAGATGGTTTCTGTGCCAGGTGAAAGCCGGGCAGATTCCTGGAGGGGGTTTGTCCCTCTCTGAGGCGTGCTGCCCTGGCCTCAGATATGCTGGAGGGAGGCAGGGCAGGGCAGGGCAGGGGCAGTGATCTCCACCGTTCTCTCTGGGACATGGGAGGGCAACCCTCTTTCCCCCCCTCCCCCGCCTCCCTGTGCTTCCATCCCAGGCAGGCAGGCAGGGAGGGAGATTCTGGGTTCTGCTGGGCTTGCCTTGCTCAGCGCCTCTGAAGAAGACCCCCCCCCCACGCTTCTGTCTTTCTCCACCCACACAGGTATCCGTCCGTTGGTTATGACCAGGTGCTTCTGCCTCCCCACCTGTTCCCTGAGCAGGCCCGTGTCTCGCCCGGCAGCTACAGCCCAGCCACGACAGCCGTGGGCTTCCCTCCTGCCCAGGCCCTGAAAGTCCCGCCGCTGGAGCCGTTTCCCCACTTCCCCCACGGTGCCCAGCAGGGGCAGCCGCCGCCGCCGCAGGGGCAGCACTACGCCGCCTCGGCCCTCCAGCAGGCGCTGCTCTCCCCGACCCCGCCCGACTACAGCCGGCACCAGCAGGTCCCGCACATCCTGCAGGGGCTGCTCTCCCCTCGGCACTCGCTCACCGGCCACGCCGACCTGCGGCTGCCCCAGGCAGAGGTGGCTCAGCTGCTCAAGCGGCGGCAGCAGCAACAGCAGCAACAACAGCAGCAGCAGCAGCAGCAAGAGTTCCAGGAGCTGATCCGGCACATGAGCCAGGGGGAGACCGGACACGTGGCCAGCGGGGCCCCCCAGAGACCCTCGGACCGCCAAGCGCTATCTTTGCCTTATCCGAACGCTGACCCCTACCTCCCCCACCGCCCTCATCACCCGCACACCAGCCCCCAGGCCCTCCTCAAAGTGAGGGCGCACGACGGCCTCCAGCAGGTGCCGGCCTCGGTGGTGGCCCACGGCTACGCCCACCAGCCCGCCCTGGTCCACTCGGAGAGCATGGAGGAGGAAGCGGGCTGCCTGTGCCAGGGGGGCCGGGACGGCTTTTCCGGCCATAAGGCCAGAGGTTGCCACGAGGCCCAGCTGCTCTTAAGCGTCGGGAGCCCTGGGGACGCGGACTCTCTGTTTGGGACTGTGAAGCCCGAGCAGGAGCTGGGGGCGCATCCTTACAGGCGCCAGCCGGCCGGCACATCCTTTTGTCGGAGCGAGGTGCCCTTCAGAGGTAAGGGGTGGTGAAGGAGAGGCCCTGGAAGGCTGGCCTGGCCTGAGGGTGGGGGAGATGCGGGGAAGGGGCCCTGGCTGGTGAACCCCAAGGAAGGAGGGGGTCTGCTTGCCTTTGGGGGCCAGCGGTGGCGAAGGAGGCAGGGGCTTCGCCGCTCTTCGCGGTCTCCTCTCGGCTAGGAGGGGCTTCCATTCTGGCTGGCTCTTCTGGTCCCTTGGGGTCTTTCTGGGGCCAGTGCCAAGTCTGGCCTTGGGAGCCCCGCTTTGCCCTCGGCACCTGAGATGAGCCACTGGTCTCTCTCTCTCGCTCTCTCACCTGCCTGAGGAGCGCAGAGGAATGGGAGCGTGGGGCAGCCAGAGAGCGTGAAGCACTCGTGAAGGTGCCTCTGTCTCTCCCAGGCCCCACAGGGTGCTCTGGGAAGGCTGGGCTGGAGACGATTTTCTCTTCCTCTGTGGAGTCAGGCCAAGCTGCCGGGGCCATCCATTCCCTGGCTGAGCCTCAATGCAGCACGGCTCTTTCCCATGGGCTCTCGGTCCTTCCTGGCTTGGCTGAATCCCAGCGTGCCCCCCCCAGGCCCCTGGCAGGGGAAACAGACCTTCTCCCCAATGTCCGCCCTTGCTCCCCCACCACCCCCATCACTCAGCATGGCCTGGAATCCTCTTGAGGCAGAATATGTGGGGCCTGGGGGGGTGCCAGCTGACTTGGGGGCCAGGCAGTCGTGGTGGTTTGTGCCCAGTGGGCTCAGCAGCTGGCGCTGATGCCCCCCTCCCTCGGGGCAAAGCAGCTTCTTTGGTTTGTTTTCCCCAGAAAGGGACCCTGGTTACCTGGCTAGCCTAGTGGAACCCTTCAGCCACTCCATCTCGGCCACTTGTCACCCGATGTTGGCACTGGGCAGTCTGAAAGCCTGGTGGTGGGAGCCTTGGTGCCCGGAAGGGAGGCCCACCGCTTGGCCTCTCGGGAGCTGCATGGGGCTCGCTCCCCGCTTTCCAAGCATCCGTCAAGGGATTCCCTTTCAATCTTGCACCCCGCCTCTGCTCCTGCCACCTTTCTGAGCAGCAGTGGTGGGGGGTGTGTGGTCAGGCAGGCAGGCAGGCAGGCACCGGTCTCTTCCTTGCGCTTGGTGGATGCCCAGGGCCAGCGAGGGGAGGGGTGGGCTCTCCAGAGCTCTGGGGTGCCTCTTGGTTGGGGGGCTGGGGGGGTGGGGGAGAGTGTGCTCTAGCAGGGAAGAGACTCTGAGGCCACGGGGAATGTCCCCCTTTCCTGCCTGTCGCAATGGCCAGAGGGTCACCTTGCAGATGGCAGGCCAAAGTCCAGCCTGTTGACAGGCGTGAGTTCTTGCAGCCTGAACGGACAACCCGGAGGCTTGGCTACAGCCATGCGGCGGCTCTGGGTGCGGCGGGCAGGGGAGGCTCTCCGTCTGCATCCCCCACCCCACCCCCCAGCACTGTTGGCAGACCATGCTGCCTTTGGGGACCATGGAGGGCACTTGTGCGAAGAGTGTCTGTGTGTGTGGGGGGTGTCATTTGAGGAGCCTGTCTTCCTGCGCCACCTCCTGCTGAGGCCATAAATGAGGCCTGGCCTGATAGAAGAGCAGCCTTTAACCTCCCACGCAGCCGTTTGGGCAGGGGCCGACCTTTGGCTGACTCCTTGGCCGGAGGAGGAGGAGGAGGAGGAGGAGGAGCCGTGCTTGGAAAGCCCTGCCTGCCTGTGTGTCTGCCCTGGGACCTGGATGTCCTGCCAGGCAGGTGGACATAGAAGGAGAGCTCCAGGCATGGTCTCTTGGGGGGGCGGCATGGGGGGGGGATTCCGTAGCAGCAAAGGGGTCTATCTGTGCTTCAGCCGGAGGGCAGGTTTTGCACAGATCAGAGAATGGGCACATGCTGCAGACAGCAGCCTAACGGGCAGGTCTGGGGGGTCTGTTCGGGTGCGTCAAGGGGTGCTTGGCTCTCCCACGTTACACCCCAGACATGGCGTGTGCATGCAGACCATACCCCAGAACATGTCTCTTCTAGCTGAGAACCCAGAGGTGTGTGAGGAGGTTGCAGGGGAGTGTTAATTGTGGAGGCCCCGTGGGTGGTGGTGGTGGGGGAGGGCATTCCTTGGATCATGACCACCAGGTCTTTGAGGCTCCCCCTCTCTCCCAGGACAGCTGTCAGCCTGCAGCAGAGGAAGGGCAGCCCCTACCAGCCAGGCTGGCTGTCTTGGAGGGGGAGGGGCCCGGCGTGCATGCTGGGCTTCTGCCCGGTTCCCCCTCCAGCCTGGCACAGAAGGGCAGAGGCCTCCATGCAGGACCTGACCGTTGTGCTCTTTCTGCGGTCCTCTTCTCTCCCCCCCAACCCCAACCCCAACCCCAGATCCCATGGCCACAGGTTGCATGGAAAGGAACTCGCCAGGGCACATGGAAACGGCCGATGCCGAGGGGCTGGGGGACTACTCCTCCTCCACCCGGGGGATTCCCAGCACGCATCACAGAGCCCGGCCCCTCCAGAGACACCACACGATTCAGAGCAGCGGCGATGCCTATGTACGTGGGGGAGACCAAGGGGAGGGAAAGAGGGGCCGGTCTGCTTCTCAGCTGGGGCTTGGAAAGCCACCGGCTCAGGCATAAGACCTGGGTGAGCTGCCCTCCTTGCTGGGCGCCCGCTAGGGCATTGCCACTTGGCAGGAGGGTCGTGGGGCATCTATTCTGTGGTCACGGGGCATCTATTCACTGGGGGCCTCCGTCTCTTATCCCTCCCACCTGCAGGTGCAACTGGACACTCTTCCAGGCATGAGCCTCATGGCAGGGAAGGCGCTCAGCTCTGCCCGCATGTCTGACGCTGTGCTCAGCCAGTCTTCGCTCATGGGCAGCCAGCCGCTCCATGACCGGGAGAGGGATGGTGAGTGGCTGGCCCCGGGAAGCAGTCAAGGACCAGGCTAAGGGCTGTCTGGGACGGCTGGGCCCACGGGAGGCCATGCAGGCCCTAGGGCTGAGGCGCTGCATCTGCAAAGGGGGGTGGTGGTGGTGGTGGTAGTGGTAGTGGTAGTGGGGGGGCTTCGGACTAGGGCTGAGGCGCTGCATCTGCAAAGGGTGGTGGTGGTGGTGGTGGTAGTGGGGGGGGCTTCGGGGTGTTTCGGGTTAGCTGTGGGACCTGTGCTTTTCCCATCCTGAGGCTGCACCTTCCCGCCAGAACACTACCTGCCTCGTTTGCAAGGCTGGGGAGGCGGGCAGGCAAGGAGGGATCTTTCCCTGGGCCGGGCTAGGCAGGCAGCCTGGGGGGCAAGGTTGGCTCGGACTGGCAGGTGGGTGGGCAGGCAGGCAGGCTCCTCAGCTCTACTAGGTGCCTATGCAGCGGGCCTTTCCCTGGGTTGCCCTGGCAGCTGAATCTGCAGCCTGCCAGAAGCATCCCCTCTCCCTCTTGGTTTTGCAGATGGTGGGGAGAGTTTGGAAGGGGACGAGCAGCCGGATCTGGGGGAGGGCAGCCAGCACCTCAATGCCGCCTGTTACCCCTCCACGTGTCTTACGGACGTCCTGCTGAGCTACAAGCACCCGGAGGTTCCCTTCGGGATGGAACAGGCTGGGGTCTAGAGGAGAAGGTGGGTTGCCATTGGGCATCCTGGTTGAGGTCGGGGAAGGGGTGGGTCATTTCCCAGCGCCTGTCCGCCCCCTCCCGCTCAAGGGAATGGCCGGCAAGGAGGTGCCACCTGGCCTGGGCCTCTCCTAGGTGGTCCCTGCTTTGCTTGGAGGGGGGGGGATATGTTTCTGCCAGATGGACCCAGCTGGCTGAGGTGAGGGGCTGGAGCACGGGGGGCAACACCAGCGCCCTCCTCCCAGGCAGTGCCACGAGGGTCACCCGGCTGCCGGGAGGGGGCCTCCTCTTGGAGGCGGCAGCAGAGCTGGCGAGAGAGCCCTCGGAGTGTCGTCGTCGTCCAGGGCAGGTGTGGGCTGGGGCCGGAGTCTCTTCCGTGTGCGGGCGTGCACAAGGCTCCTGCCTGCTTTGTGTCCCCATACCTACCTATCTTTCTGTCTCTCTGTCTTCCGCTTTCTTCTGACAGGGGTCTGTACAGCTTTGAAACAAAAACGGTCCATTTCAAACCAATAGTATCACGCAGCATCGCGCCAAATGGCCGTAGCATTTCTCCTGGACAGAAATTGTGCGGCAACAGCAGCGGCAGCGGTGGTGGTGGCAGCTCCTCCTCTTCCTCGGCCTTCCTCCACCTCGGCTGCCTCCTCCTCCTCCTCCTCCGTTGAGCAGTGTGCCTGTTCCTTTCGGATGTTTATGACGTATTGCCATCTTCATCCTCTGTGATGCCAGCTGTTCTCCAGGAGGCAGAGGGCTCCTCCTTGCCTGGCCCTGCAGGGGGGCCCCCAGGACAGCTGCTGTCTGGGGGGGCACCCTGCCTTGCCCAGCAAAGCTGATTGGGGGGGGGGCGTGCTGAAAGCGATGCAGCGTCTCACCCACCAGCGAGCAATAAGCAGACGTTTGAGGTGGGCCTGCCTTGCCCAGTGCTTGCCAGGCCCCGGCAGAGCGGCTGGAGGGGCCGGGGCTGGTCGAGAAGCGGAGGCGCTGGTCCGACCGATGCCTGCCTGCTGGCCCTGGCCTGGCCTGGCCCCTTTCTTCCCTCCCTCTCTGCCACCCTCCCTGCCACGCCAACTCAGGCTTCTCCTCCTCCTCACCGGCACTGGTGCAATATTGCTTTTGTGCATCTTTTTGTTTGTCTTTCCCCGTTTTTATAGGCCCT